TTCTATACTATTCTTGTTGTATTTTAATTAATATTTATTTGTTGTTTTTACTGTAAACCGCCCAGATTAATTTCCTCATGAGATGGGCGGTGTCCAAATTTGAAATAAATGAATGAATGAATGAATGAATGAATAAAGCACAATGATATTTTAACTTAAATTTTGCTTTAATTGGGCATAAGTATCCCCTTATGCTCCTAAAACAACATCTTCTCTGGCTGCTGCTGCTGCTCCCTTTTAAGACAAAGCTGTTCCAGTATGGCGTGAACCAAGTTCTGTGTGTCCCTTTTTATCAGGTAATCTACTGTGGACTATAAAGTGGCTACGGACATCATAATCACAAATTCTAGGCAAATCAAGCAAAGAACAGAACTTTCCATATGGTCTTGCAGCATAAGGCAAAACAGAGGCAAAAGATGTAGATTTCATCCTATTGGACCAGATGACCTTCAAGTGTCATTTGAATCATGGAAATATGACATTAAAGACATTCACATGAATGCTAAATCCATTCTGAAATTATAACAAATCTGTTGGAGCAAACAGATTTTTAAAAAAATCTGTATATATTTTTTTTAGAAAAAGATCTATGGAAATATTTTCTGCAGTTTTTTTTAAAGAATGACACTATGAATGTTCTATACCACAAAGGAAAAGGAAAAATAAATGTAACATATTTAATTGGTAAGAGATTAAATGCATCTCTTGCCAATGTCATAAATAATTATTTTTTTCCAAGTCAGCTAGCTTTTTGAAAACTAATAATTGATAGTTTTCAAAAAGCTAGCTGACTTGGAAAAAAAAATTATGTATTCATTTGCTTATTTATTTATTTAATTTGGAGACTGCCCAACTTCCAAAAGATTGCAGGTGGATTAAAATGCACACAAAGAAAAAACCCGAACAATAAAAATATGTGCAGCCAGAAGAGTAAAAGAACCAAACATACCCCAGAAGAACAAAAGCTAACACAGGTACAGCATCTATCCTAGTGCCTTCTTGTTTCCCTTTTTCAAAATAACAACAACAATAATTTGTCTACAAGTTAGCAAGATGACAACAGCACAATGATGTACAACATCTTACATATCAGCCAAAGGAAATGTAAAATATTGTTTTCCTCCATACGTGCACTACTGTATCTGTAACATACAGTTCCACATACTCCTTATGTATGATATTTAAGTCTATATTAACTGGTTATGTTGATATGCTTTCTTCAATTATGAAACAAGCAAGTGAAAATTCCATAGCAGAAGCCAGTCAGAATA